TTTTTGCGTTCAGTTATAACTAAACGACACAACCTATATACAATGCACAACTTTGTTTAGTGAATATCTCAAGTACGTGATAATTTTAGTATATTAAAAACGTAAAGTACCATATTCAGAGTTTAACTGACGAAAGTGTTAAACAGTTTCTAAACTCATCTTAGTGACTCCAGATAGTATGCTTAGGCAAGAACAAGTAAAATCTACTGAAAACAGGATTCGTTTGTTAAAGTGATTTAAGAATATTAACTTGTATACGTATTCGGTTAACAATTCATAGAAACGTAAAATTCAGATTTACCAAGAACTACAAAATATGATTTCACTTGTTATTGTGTCACAACTTTGATCGTGTTTGATATTAACTTATTTTCTTAGTTTTTAAGACTCCTGGCTCTGTGCTCAATTCTTATTCAGAGCTGGAGTAAGTGATAAGAACAGTATTAAAAAGAAGCTTACTGTTGTTTCAGTCTTGTAACAATTAATTTTCTCACTTTCAGTTAACTCTTCAATTATATTTACAGCGGTTTATTTAAGTACGACAGTGCTTTAAATGTGTGTGAAATAATGATATAATTATAAAGTACACTACTTTCACATGATTAGCGTTATTTCACGCTACGTATTTAAATTTGATGATCTTCAGGCTTGTAATGTCTATAAAAAAGTAACAAAGTTTGTGATTTTTCCCTATAAACTTGATAATTTCACTTAACAGTTTCAACAAAAAAATAAATGGTGAGACTCACATGTTGTTATTGTATATGAAAATATTGTTTTGAGTGACAGAAACGTTTAGGTTTGTTGTGGACTATTTTGTAAACGTTTCGTACTATGTACGAACATTGGAGTTGATTAAATTAAATAAAGACTGAAAAATTCAAGACATCCAATAATTTGAACTATTTCGTCTGAAAACTGAAGATACGAGGTGAAACGTCACATTTTTCTTCTATTCTAGTTAGGCTGATAAAATAAATATATATATATATATATATACATGTTTAATGTGCGATAGCGATTATGCAACTAAAATAATGACACACGCATGTTCAAGTTTCTTAACCTTTTTAATATATTGCTGACTAGCATTTCCTTCAACCTTTATACAAGAAAACAAAACTATACAGTTGCTGGTACACAAATATCCAGAGGATACAGCTTAACAAATCTTAGTGATCGGCGTAATCATCAACTCACGCGATAAAGTGTTATATGATAAATAATAGTTGATGAAGACGACATTACTAGGGTGGACTTTAAAATTCTACCTGACATAACGCTTACATCAAACAGAAGACAAAATATTCTGACAAAACAAACCTGCCACCACTAGGAAAACAATCGCGTTAAGTATGTATTTTGTTTTCACACAGAAATGCAATTTCTGAAAGAAGGTCTAACATTGCAATATTTTAGACAATGGGTTGCGTAACTACAACTGACAACAATATAAGTTCATGTTTTCTTCAGTGAATACAGTTACTTTCCTGTTCTTTACAACTAAACCAATAATTTGAAAAACGCAAAAATGCGAATGTAATTTCTATTTCTTTACAATAAAGTTACAGCTTACATACATATCTACACAATACTGCTTTTAAACCTGAAAGTGCAAAAATAAAGGGTAGCGTTCATAGCCTTCAACCATAGTAGGTTAATTACTGTGTGGTACTATGCACATTTTGCAATTTTTTAAGATAACGAAATTTGTTTTTATAAACAATTATTTTTTACACTAAGGAGATCATTAAGAAAAGAAATACTTCTCTAAACGTCTACCAATTTAATCTCCTCACCAAGCAACTTTTGCAAATCTTCAAAGTTGTTATCAAGCAAGATTTCTAGCAACACTGCACAATTCTTTGGTGATAAAAAGCCTTCTATTCAGTACTCTAAATTGATGCAATATTAAACCTTTTTATTTTTATAAAAGAGCATCAAGTAGTAGAGGAGAAGTGAGCTAATAATGAGAGGAAAGAGAGAGAGAGAGTGAAATGTTTACTGCTGAACTATGGGAATGACTAATAAAAGTGGACCACAGTCAAAAATGAGAATTAAAAGGTAAATTTCAAGTCTTAAATTTATGTTTAATTAAAAATTTTCAATTTCAAGAGAAGAAGAATCACTTGAACTCATATTCTGACAAAATGAAGGAAGAAAGTGAGAAAAGGAAAAAAATGTAGGGTAAATATACAAAATTTTTATCATACACAAAGTATGATACTCAGTCTCTCGAGAGGTACAAAATGAAAGTACCTTAGAGAGTACCAGATGTAAAGATGAATGGCTCTGTAACACCACTGCTAATATTAGATGTTATACTTATGTTGTTCAATATTATATTATAAACAGTTTTAACAGCTTATTTTTATTTTGTTCTACTAAGACAGGCTATATGACAGTGATGATTATTTCAGTTTTGCAAGACATCTAGCTTTTAGTTTAGATTAAAAATCTATCATCGAAAGTTCATTATAAGAAGTGTTTTGCAGCATAAATTTTAATAATTGGGCTGACGAACTTCCATGCTACCAATTGAAGGTGAAGAGTAGATGGTATAAGAGAAGAGGAACAGTAATGTTAATTTTCAACTAATATATTCTCTGGGCCATTCAAGTTCAGTTTAATGTCAATCTAATTGTGTTTTTTTTTATGTACAAGCCAACAATTAACTCTTTCTATACAATGAACAGTCATCTCTATAAGTTTATCAAACACATATCCTTAGTGGGTAGACATGATAAGGCTCCTGTGGTTTTCTTCTTCATCAAGGCAAGATAACCTGGTGAAAGTCCTCAGTAACAAAATGTTTTTTGAAAATAATAACATAATCCACACTAAGCAACAGATGCATCCATTATTTAAAGTTCTGCCAGGTTGAGAACTTGATTTTCTTAAATAAAATACCTTCTTAAATATATACATACAGATACTAAGTCCCCCAAATCCTGGCACCACATACATAAAATGCAAATAAATGAGCCCACATATAACATGTAGGGTTGAAGAGCTTGAAATAATTTTTTCTATGAAGCTGTCCAAGTGTTTACAAATAATTTCTTCATACCAAACTGCTGAATAATAATTAATTGAAAAGTGAAACCTTGTTATCTCACTTTTTAAAAACAAGTTGGTATATTAAAATAAGTCACAAGTTGTAAGGATCACAGAATGTGGTTTCTACACTACAAATAAAATGTCAAAAAACAAAACAACTTTTAAAAAGCTTCACCATATCAGAATTTCATGGTGATTTAGACTACAGATCTACTCAAATTATATATATGTTTATTGAACTATAACTAGTATTTGCTAATCAACAAGTAAACTCTGCTATTTTGTTACTCATCTCCAAACCAAAATAATGGTCATTTTGACCTAAATAGACTAAGTAAAAGGGAATGTGATGGTCAACTCATCTAATTATCACAATATGATATAATGGTTGAAAAAACCCAGAGTTTTTCAACATTTTTGTTTATAAAACAGCAATTTTACAAGTTCCTTAATTCGATATTTCAGAATAGAAAGTTCTATAAAATAATGGAGTTGTCTGAAGATACAAAGCACATGACTGGACAGTTTATATCTCACCTTAAAGCAGAACTATTACCTATGTATTTAATTTGTTTTCTTATTATATAATCAAAATGTCTTACACTAGTAAAAAAAACTAACAGCCTTTAAGAAACTTTAAATTTCAGTGGTATTCTTCCAAAAACAATTTTTGAAAGGAATATTATCAACATACTTTGATATTAAAAAAAAAAGTACAAAGTTTCAGGTATTTCATTAAAAATAAAGCACATAACTATATTTTAAAGCTTGAAAAATTAGTCATTAAAATTCTTAACAAATTCTAACTAATTAAGATATATTGTAATTATCTTTTACACTTAAATTAAATGAATGCATCTAAAAATTGTAATATAAAACTGATTAATATAACACCCCCTGTGTCTGGAAATCTTATCTGCTTCAGGTAGTTTAAAACAGAATAAAGTAACTTCACCAATAATGTTAATATCTGAAAAAATCTTGAATATCAGATGAAATACAGGAAAAACAAATAAAATATCTTTTACTATCTTCAAACAATGCATTTTACCTACATTTATCAGAAAAGACTGTTATATTTATGAGAGAAGACTTGCATTATGCAAAAATTAAAGACAATTTAATTCAGTAACAGGGTATACCTTTGAAGAATTTTCAATAATTCACTAGAAAAAATTAGAAGTTTCCTTTTGTTGATGATGAAAACATTTGTTAGCAAAACTTTAATAACACTTACGTTATTATGTTTGAAACATTAATGATAGTTGTATTTTATAACTAATCCATACAACTTCATTCCCTAAAGGAAATTATTTTGCTGAAGAATTTTCTTAAGTTTGTACATGTATTTACAAATACTTATACAACAGAAATATTAAATATGCAAAGACCATGGTAGATAGTTATTGTTTTTCAATGAGTAGAACAAATAAAAATAGTATTTTAGAAAGTAATAATTTGACATATATTTTTGCTTTCTTGATTTTCAGTTATTGATACTTGTGAAAATACAATCTTCTTTATCATAATAATCAGATGTATGATCTTCAAATAAAAATTAAGGCTATTACCACATTAATTTGATATGGCAAAATTAACCTAAAGTTTGCAAATGTAAGGTTTTCACCTAAGGAAAATGTGTTTCAGGAACACTTTTTTGTTATAAATAGTTAATAGGCATATCACACATGATATATAATTTGTCCTCATCTGATATATATATATATATATATATATACATATATATTTGTGTGTATCTTAGTATTCTACATTGCACTAATTAAAAGTTGAAGACAAAAATTACAAATGGAGTTTTAAGCCTTACATAATGTTCAAACTTATCAAGAGAGAACTAATTAAAAAACTGAGTTTGAAATAAATTTTGATGAAATAAAATATCATGACAAAACAATAAAAATATTCTATAAAATAACAAATAAAGTAAACACTACCTTTTCATTAACAAAACTTGCCACTTGTATTCATAAATTAAAGTTCTATGCTTTTTAAAATATTATATAAAATTACTTATTAAAATCTTAAACTCATATTAGCTAAACATAACTTGGTAGCAAAAACTAACTGAAACTTGTAAAATGCTGTTAAAAATATTAAATGTTTTGGATTTTTAAAACAACTTTCAAACTATGAGCAAACAAAATAGACTGCTTGGCTGGTACCTACTTCTCCATGAACTTGAAATGATTAATCTCAAAATTGCTGTCATGATGGTTTTAATCCTTTGTAAATCATAGTTTGGAATTTTGAAGTTGCATCTTTCAGCAGTAATTAAGTTATTTAGTTTTTATGTGAAAGCCTGATATGATAGAGAGAGGAGAAGTTCCTGCAAAAGAATGAAAAACAACAACAACAAACTACTGTATAAATATTTGCCTCCAAATAGAGCTAAGCAACAGGTGTGGTTATACATCAACAAATGATCAACTTCAGTGTCATTTAAAAAGTCTCTACAGAAATGTGTTTCTGAAATCTATCCACAGGAATCCTGTTGTCATGGTAAAAGCATGCCCACTAAGGAATTGGTGGTTGGCTACTGGAACTTGATTGGGGAAGAAGCTGTGGGAGGCGTGATGGAAGAGGAGCCTGTAAATATTGCAGAGTCCATTGCACAAGAATTAGAGTTTGAATGCCCACCTGAGTTGGTTCGTGTGTGTAAGGCCGTTATGGATGATGATATAGAAGGAGAAGATACAGACTGGGAGACGATACAAGGAGATGCTGACCTTTTACTTCCTGCCTTAACTAACATATTTTCTGGAGCACCAGACTTTGCCGGGCTATCAATCACAGACTGCTTGTTACTATATCTCTTTTTTTCACATCCAGGTGAATTAGTGTCACTCTGTTTAGAAGTAAGTGACATTCCTGTACCTTGGTCCTCAGAGTAGTACAATTTCAGTGCAATGGCCAAGTCCCGAAGCACCTCAGTCTCTTTCTCTTCTACTAGGTTGAATTGTTGATTAAAGAGCATAAAATGGGAGAAGAGAGAATTTAGGTGGGCATGAAGATTAAGAAGAAGAACTTCTCTGAAGTGGGCATTATAGATGTGAGCTATCACATGAAACAACAACCTGTGAATTTTCTTCACTATGGACTCAAAGGAACTTGGGAATTCTTTTTCTGAAAAATACCACAAAACTAAGTAAAACCTAATGACAATAAAATAGTCTTTAAGAAAGCATAACAATAAAATACCAAATTTTGATGACAGAAAGTTTCCTGTTGCCATAATTAAACATTCAGTATGGTAATCATACATATGATTAAGTTTGATTACAAATGTATATTTGACAGAAAATGTTTGAATTAAGTTTAGAATACACATTGAAAGAGATAATTGTTAGATTTAATTTCAAACTCAACAAAGAATAGTTCCATTTAGCTACAGACACTATCTCAACAGAGAGTAGTTAGCTTTGGCTACAGACACAGAATCAACAGAAAATAATTAGATTTGGGTACAGACACAACCTCAACAGAGAATAATTAGATGTGGATACAGACACAGAATCAACAGAAGATAGTTAGATTTAGCTACAGACACAGATTCAACAGAAGATAGTTAGATTTAGCTACAGACATAAATTCAACAGAAGATAGTTAGATTTAGCTACAGACATAAATTCAACAGAAGATAGTTAGATTTATGTCTGTAGCTAAATCTAACTATCTTCTGTTGAATCTGTGTCTGTAGCCAGATTCAACAGAAGATAGTTAGATTTAGATACAGACACAGATTCAACAGAAGATAGTTAGATTTAGATACAGACACAGATTCAACGGAAGATAGTTAGATTTAGCTACAGACACAACCTCAACAGAGAATAATTAGATGTGGATACAGACACAGAATCAACAGAAGATAGTTAGATTTAGCTACAGACACAGATTCAACAGAAGATAGTTAGATTTAGCTACAGACACAGATTCAACTGAAGATAGTTAGATTTACCTACAGACACAGATTCAATGGAGAACAGGTAGGTTTGATTACAGATGTAGATTCAACAAAGAATAGTTAGATTTGTTTACACTTGCAGATTCAAACATGCTTCTTGATCCAGTTATTTGAAAACCCTTAGTACATAAACTACAAAATAAGTATACAAAATTTAAAACTGGAAATATTTTCTTTTCTTCACAAATAATTTCTGTCAAAAATTTATTCACAGCATCCATGTTTAGTCTCTTTGTGAAATTTTGTGTTACTGAGAACTGCTAAATATATTTTTATGTTTCTACTGTAATGCAATATTAGCTACCATATGATATGCCAATCTTTGATGTACAGATACATTTTAGTATACAATTTAAGAATAGAGTACAGAAACATCTGATATTGATTTCAGAAAGAAACATCACAGGAAAATATTAACACTAATTTTTAACTTTATTAAGTATGATGAAATAGGTATAGAGCCAGTTTATGAAATTTATTTTAAACATAGCTCAATTATATGTATTTCAGTTTGTACACTATTAAAAGTATACATAATTAACTTACCAAACTTGGTGGGAAATATTGATTCATCATTGACAGTCTTCTGAGTAAACGTCATGACATAGTCTACATACTGTGGAGCTGCTACCTTACATTTCTTCCCTTTTTCATCAAACCATAAGTATTGTCTGAAAAAAAAAAATCATCCTCTATCTTTTAACCAAAATCAGTGATAATGCACACAACTTTTCAAACACAGTAAATCAGTTTTCATTTCAGATCAGATCTCAAGAACTTTTGAGATAACTTGAGCTTAATTTGCATTCTAGGAAAATAATTAATTGGTGTTCCTTTTATTATGATCGACAATGAAATCTAATAAAAGTAAACATTCAACTTTATTCCTAATTACCTGGCATATCATACAGATTTTAAAAGCAGTAAAGATTTTTGTCTAAGGAAAATGACAACAATTTTACAGTCTGTTATATAAAACATTACTGCTAACAAAAATTACATGTTGCTTAAAAAAACCAATTTCTTACAAGTACAAAAACAACAAAAGACTATTAAAATCCAAGATTCATATCATCAGTAATAAATTGAAAATACAGAAAAAAAAAAGGTTACCAAACTATATCTGTAGCACTAACAAGTACTTATTATTCACAAATATCAACAAACTGTAAGAAATTTGATTAACTTTATGGTGCCTACAGGCCAAATGTCTGAAAGATCTAAACTTCAATGTAATTTTAAAAAATATTTTTGTGGTATTTCCTCAAAGGATAATTATCCTTGTTGTTAAATATTTTTTGCTAAGAAAAATATATAATGGAAAAAAATATACAGCAATGAATATAATTGAATATAATGAAACACACAAGTGATACAAATATGTGAATCACAAACAATGAGTAATTATTAAATTGTGAGTTTATTTATGGTACAAAACATCCTCACAGAAATTACCAACAAGCACTAGTATTTTTATATGTGACCCCTTTGTTTTACACAAAGCATTAAATCTTGTTTTCATGCTGCCATATAGTTTATCATTGTATGATAATGGAATATTATTTCAAATGTTCTGTACTACGCCTCACAATTAAGTCAACTTGTTTGGTCACCCATTTGATGTTCTCAGTTTTACATAAGCCCATACAGCCTCAAGAATGTTTATATCAATAATTTGTGTGGACAAAGCCAAGGATGTGAGTGCTCCATTAGCCTTTTTTTTGTATTGCCAAGATGTTGTATCACATTTACAGTACAATTAGGATCATGGTCTTGCTAGAGTTGTGTTCTTGAGGAAATGGAATGATTCCTCAAAATGTACCTCCAACCACACTATATTTGTCATATCTATTGCCAATGAAGTATTTTGCTCAATCCAGAGCTCTTTAAACTAGCTGGGATACAACAAACACAGCAGTGGTTAGAACACTATTTATATAAGCCATTTGATACAACAACAATTGTTATGCTGTGTAAGCATTTTACAAGCCAAAACTGATTACAATTATACTTGTCATAAGACAATAGGACTAGGGCTATTATAGTTTTAAACAATATATTCTTAATTTAGTCCCTTAGAAAAGCCATAAATAGTATTCTGACAATTTCTATATTTTTTATATTCCAGCTGGCCTGAAGAGCTCTGGATTGAGCTAAACTTGTCTTTGGCAATGAATATTATAAACTCTTATAATTCTTGAAAATCTCTAAGGGGCTAGATTAAGAATATAGGGTTTCAAAATATGACAAGTATAATATTAAACTGAACTGGCTGAAATAGGGATCTGAAAGTTTTAAAAATCTAAAACTAGAGTTGTTTAAATCTATAAGCCTCAAAATGAATATGGTCACTTGAGTCAAAATGATCTTTTCAGCCACAGACATAGAAACTCACCTATTGCAAGGACCCGTCATATCTGGACAACCAGACATTGTACAAAACTCTGATACTGTTCCATAAATTAGGTTGAGGTGATCAAAAAATGCTAAAGCTGCAAGAAGTAGATAACACTAAAAATGAGTTTAATAGAAATACTCTTTGTAAACAATTTATTTTATGAACTTATTGACAAAATGATTAAGCATTTGATTGTAGTCAGCATAACATTAAAATTTGTTACTTACAAAGATGAGAAGTATTTAAAGCGCTCGCACATGATTATTAAAGTATTTTGCAACCCACCTTTTAAAATAATTTTTCAAGTAAGATTGACTGATTAAGAACACATTAAGAGATAGGGGATTCATACTGAATTCTATCTTTGTTAAACACAATGAACACAATTTCAACATCTGAACATAATTTTTGATAAAATGCAAGATCACAAGACTTAAGATTTTGTTAATGAAGTTACTGAGCTGATGTTTAACACTTTCTCATGACCAAACAGACAAAAGCACAAAACTTCTCAAACTGCTAAGATAGTCATTGTTTAAGAACCTTGACTGTCAGTCCAAGAACCAGAACAAAATACTGCTTAAAACTTGGCTGCTAATACATGTAATCATAAAACCTGCTGTACACTGTATTTATATCAGTTAACTTACAAAGGTTGAGTGCATTATATTAAAATGATTTTGGAGCCTCACCACATCGTTACAGTCTTAGTCACCAATCAAGTTATGCTCTATAAAGCTATCATGTACATCTTTCCTACTGGTTTCCATAATCCATCAATTCTATGAGAACAACAGTTTCCCAATGTCCATTTCAACAGTCTGATGTCACAGAAATCCTTAGGTGCTGCATCTGGTGACTTAACTCATATATCTTTATATGGAATTGCATGAATGCCTGTTTCAACCTCCAGCTACTTGAGGTATGCAACGGTTGAATAGAAGGTATGACTGGAAACCTTACCTTGATGAACCCATACCCTGTTGCCCTAATTTCCAGATAGAGATCCTTCTTGATTATTTTGCAAACTGTTGCCTGGAGCATGTGGATGGTTTTTGTCATTGACCTTCATGTTTGTGGATTCTCAACTGTTACAAGTCGCAAACTTTGCTTACCATGGCTGGAATATAACTTCTTGTAGGTATTTTCTGGATGGTCCTGCTGCTTCACATCGATCAATATTTTCCAATGCCATTAAGCATAAAAGATATCCCTCACCTTGGAAATTTTAAAACTCCAATCTTAACACATCTTTATGATGTGAGCATGTGAATATCTTGGATCAGAAAGGTCTGTTACATACCCTTCAGTGTCATCACACTACATTCAAATACCAAACAATGTCAAGATGTAATTCTGATACATTCTGTTCCATCAGGACTTTATATTGGCAATGGTTGTCATGCAACTTGCTGATTTGCATGTTCAGAATTGTTTCAATATAATGTACTCGCCTTCTGTATAACAGTTTCTTCTAACACCATAGAATAATGTAAGAATAACTTAAACAGAAATGCAAATGTATAAAAGATAAATTATTAAAAGGCTGTTTAGAAAAGTAAATGAAATCGAAACAGAGGCCGAGTTTGGAGTCATAAGTTACACAAAAGTGAACTTGAGGCAATTTAAAAATTACAAAATTATGAATAAATCATTACTTTTTTACTGTTATACATAATTCGTGTTTTTATTCCTCATGTTATAATAAAACTTCAACTGACCGATTAACTGCAAGATAAAACACTCACTGTGAGATGCCAACCACTCGTTATAGTCCAACCCTATAGGTAGTTCAACAATTTCTCTAAGCCGGGTTTCTTGAACTGTACATTCAAGTACTGCGGTCTCCAGATATAATTTAGACTCTTCTTGAGATGGTGCCACTGCATCCTTGTCTTTCCTGCGAGTTTTCCTGTTATTAAAAAAAAAAAAATTTCAACCTATGATATTAGAAATTTATTCTATCACGGAACATCAACAACAAAAAAAAAGGCAGTACTATGCTATAATAACTTTATTAAGTTCAATTCATCACTCAAGTGTTCAAGTAACTGGGTCATAAAAGTGAGTTCAGCTTTATATATTTTTTTTCTATCGAAACTTAATAGTGGTTTATATATTTTTTGTATCAAAACTTGATAGATGGCGCCAAAATATACTGATGTATCATAATGTAAAAGAAAGTAACGTAAGCCGTTTTAGATTTCCGTCTGCTTCGCACATCGTTCAGTATTTGATCGTGCAAGTCACAAAATCTCATATATTTCCCTCACATTTAATTATCATGGCGTATTTCAATTCTCTTGGTGATGTTTCACATAAAACGTTTCATTAAACTTTCCTAAGTAAAATATGTTGTCGATAATCTCCCTCTAAAAAACAATTAACACACACACATAATACCCACACGTTAAATTTTTTGCTTAAGCTAGTATCTTCGAACATTTTATTAAAATGTTCCAACGTGCTGACAATTCATTTTGTTGTTAAATATAAACTTAGTAGCCGTTAAAATGTACTGAACACAAAATAAATAAACGAAAGTAAAGTTTGTTTGTAATTAAGAACAAAGCTACACAATGGGCTATATGTGCTCTGCCCATCAAGGGTATCGAAACCCAGATTCTAGCGTTGTAAGTCCGCAGACATGCCGCTGTGCCACTGGGGGGCAAAAATAAAGTACTCGAATAATATTCATAAAGCAATTACCACCCCGTCTGCTAAAGACTATAATGTAGATTGTAGACTAACGTTACATCTACAGATAAGCAGGTAGTTTATGAAACTATTTTATTATTTTGATGTTAAAAAAGACAAATCTATATAAAAGCTATTGAGTCCAACTGGAAAGGATTTAATATTATATGTAAAATGATACGATGAAAATATTAATAGATTATAAACAATAAATAATCTGAAAAAATGAAAGAAATTCACAAACAAATGTATATGGTATGCAAAAAAAAAAAAAAAGCTTTGTAACTTGTATGCTTAGTCCAAAATTAACTTATTTGAAATAAGACGAGCTTTTGTCTAGACCAGAGTTTCCCTAAACTTTTTGGCCACGGAACACTTTTCAGCTGAGAAAAAGCTTAACAATAGGCACGTGAAATATCGGTGTAGAGGGTATTTT